GGGGTCAGAGCGTAATCTAGGGGTCCCCTGGGGGACAGAGCGTTATCTAGGGGTCCCCTCGGGAGCACGCTTGTCCCAGGGGCTGAGCTATCCAAGGGGGGGGGCGAACACCCCACACTCTCACTCCCCACCCAGCTCTTTCACCTCTGAGGATACAAGAAACCGGCCGTCGGCCCCCGGGACAGGCCCCGACCCGGCGCACGACCAGCAGTTAGGGACTGCACCTGGGACCACGCCCAGTCCGTTAGGGTTTGTTCTGGGCAGCGTTTTATCTTTATTCTCCCTGTGACCATCTGACCTCGACGCCTTGTCACCGGGACCCACTGACCACCTGCCGCTCTGTAGTGAACGAACCTTCTATTATTTGTCGACCCTAATCCCGGGCTGCGAGCTGTGTGGGTAACGCCATCTGTGGGGTTACCAGCTGTATGAGATCCCCTATCGGCCTGTCCGGGAGAGGGATGGCAGTGCAGAACACACGGTCTGGGGGGCAGGGTGGGGCAGGGAGCGGGCTGGGGTCACCCTGCAGCACTAACCCAGTCTGGTGGGGCCGGGTGTGACCTGGGCGTGGCTGGCAGTGCAGAACAGATGGTCTGGGGGGCAGGGTGGGGCAGGGAGCGGGCTGGGGTCACCCTGCAGCACTAACCCAGTCTGGTGGGGCCGGGTGTGACCTTGGCGTGGCTGGCAGTGCAGAACACACGGTCTGGGGGGCAGGGTGGGGCAGGGAGCGGGCTGGGGTCACCCTGCAGCACTAACCCAGGCTGGTGGGGCCGGGTGTGACCTGGGCGTGGCTGGCAGTGCAGAACAGATGGTCTGGGGGGCAGGGTGGGGCAGGGAGCGGGCTGAGGTCACCCTGCAGCACTAACCCAGTCTGGTGGGGGCTGGGCGTGGCCTGCGAATGGCTGGCAGGGGATGGCTGTACCCAGCCCTCGGGGGGAACATGCTGGGGGGGCCATGGGGGGTCCAGGCTGGGAGCTCCAGCAGCAAGGCACCGCAGGGCACCCCAGGATACCGGGCAGGCGGTGACACAGCCCCTGCCCCAGTCTGGACTGCACCCCGTAGTGTCACGGGCACGTTACAGGTGATGCTCAGACAGGGGGGCCATGGGGTGAGGCACAGGGGAAGGTCAAAGGTCACTCACAGGAAGTCCCGGGGGCCCGGCGGGGCCGATGGGGCCAGTAGCACCAGGGATCCCCTGCAGGAGTGAGAACAGAGCGGAATTAGCGCGAGAACAGGAGCATCCCAATTAACCCCTCGCACCCCAGACCTCACAGGAGCTCCCTCGTTCGCCCCCTGTCTGCCCTGGGTCCAACACAGCCTCCTCCCTGGGTAGCCCTGCTCACCACACCCACCCTCAGAGTAGTGATTAGAACCCAGGAGTCCTGGCTCCCAGCCCCCCTGCTCTAACCCACCAGACCCCCCCACTCCCCTCCCAGAGCCGGGGAGAGAACCCAGGAGTCCTGGCTCCCATCCCCCCTGCTCTAACCCACCAGCCCCCACTGCCATCCCAGAGCCGGGGACAGAACCCAGGAGTCCTGGCTCCCAGCTCTCCCCGCCCCGTAACCCACCAGCCCCCACTCCTCTCCCAGAGCCGGGGACAGAACCCAGGAGTCCTGGCTCCCAGCCCCCCCTGCTCTTACCCACCAGCCCCCCCACTCCCAACCCAGAGCCGGGGAGAGAACCCAGGAGTCCTGGCTCCCAGCCCCTTGCTCTAACCCACCAGCTCCCACTGCCATCCCAGAGCCGGGGACAGAACCCAGGAGTCCCGGCTCCCAGCCCCCCTGCTCTAACCCACCAGCCCCCACTCCTCTCCCAGAGCCGGGGAGAGAACCCCAGAGTCCTGGCTCCTGGCCCCCCAAGCTCCCACTGCTCCCCACATGGCAGGGGTCTCTGGCAGTGGAGGACTCCCCCTCCCCCGATACTCACGGTCTCTCCTTTCGACCCCAGGGAGCCCTGCGGGCCAGGCAGGCCCCGGTCCCCTTTCTCTCCCTGCTCGCCCGGGGGCCCGATCAGACCGATCAGACCAGGATGGCCCTGGGAAAGACAGACAGTGATCAGTGCAGGACAGACAGATGGGGGACGGCATCGAGGGCTGGGTGTCGGACAGACAGACAGACGGGCTGCATGCTGGGGGCTGGGTGTGTCGGTAGGGACAGCGTGTGGGGAGGGGTCTGTGTGCGGGTCTCTGCCCTGGGCGCTCACACACCCTCGTGCCCCTCGTGCGAGCTGTGGGATGTGCGCCCCAGGGATACTCACAAGCGGTTGTGCTGATGTGTCTGGTTCACACAGACTTGTGTATCGCTTGTGCCACGCTCATGATGCACGTGTCGTGGGCGTTCCCGTCTCTCGGTGCATTCACCCGCAGTGTGTAGCACGTGTGTGCTGGCATGTTCCCTGGCATGCGTGGCGTGGGCTGGCGCCACGTGGCACATGCTGGTGCACACTGGTGCACGGGGCGTGTATCATTCCCCCCCCCCACGGGTGTGTTGTGTGTGTTCACACACAGGCTGTGCGCCTCCCGTGTGCCCCCCGCTCACCTTCTCTCCTTTGGGTCCGGAGTCCCCTTTGAGGCCAGGCAGCCCCGGGGGGCCCTGCAGGGAGACACAGGCAGAGCGGTTAGCCAGGGAGGGAAGGGGGGCTCCCCCCCCGGTGGCGTTGTCGCACGGGAGGGCGGAGTCACACTCACCACAGGTCCCGGGGGGCCCGTCTGGCCCGTCGCGCCCGGCTTGCCTTGTTCTCCCTGCGGGGGATGGAGGGGAGAGGTTAGCGCTAAACGCTGCCCCGACCATGCCCTGGGGCTGCCCCCCACAGCCCAGCCCCAGAGGCCCCACCCTGCTCTGGGACTCCCAGCCCAGAGGCAGGGGTCCTGCACCCCACCCCTCTGGGGCTCCCAGCCCGGAGGCAGGGGTCCTGCACTCCACCCCTCTGGGGCTCCCCAGTCGGAGGCGGTGGGTCTCATGCGTTGACCGCTCTGGACAGGCCTGCAGGGGGCAGAGCTCCACTCTCAGCCCATTGGCATCAGGGGAGGGCGGTTCTGGATTTACAGCGGGGGCAGCTGAGACCGGACCCAGACCCCGTGTGTCTGGGGCTCAGGGACCCATCAGCAGGCAGGGAAATACAAGCATGGACTGCAGAGCTGGGGACAAACCCACCCCCTCCCAGAGCTGGGATAGAACCCAGGAGTCCTGGCTCCCAGCCCCCCCTGCTCTGACCACCAGCCCCCACTCCCCTCCCAGAGCTGGGGACAGAACCGAGGAGTCCTGGCTCCCAGCCCCCCCGCTCTAACCCACCAGCCCCCACTCCCCCGCAGAGCAGGGACAGGACCCAGGCGTCCTGCTGGCATGCACTGGCTGTCACTTACCACTGAGCCAGGGATGCCTCTCAGCCCATCAGGCCCCTGCTTGCCGGCTGGTCCCTGGGGCCCCACGGGGCCGGTCTTGCCAGGGGGTCCCACGGCGCCTGGCTCGCCCTGGGGGACGGAGGGGCAGGGTGAGCTCGGGGATGGGCGACACGGTCACAGCTGTGGTGGGGGCTCCTTGGCATCACCGCGCCCCTTTGGGGTCAGAGACCATCCTGGGGCTCCCTGTCACACCGACCCCAGTGCATCATGGGACAGGAGCCCTTGGCGTGGCTGGGCTGCGGCCTGGCTGGCTGTACCAGGAGCTCCCAGCCTGGGCCCTGGGACAGACCCAGCTGTGCCTCGTCTCCGGGGAGCTCCGAGCTGGGTCTGACCCCAGGGGATCCGGGACCCGACACCTCCCCAGCATAGACCCCACCCGGGGGGGCCTGGAGTCTGAGTCACTTACCTTAGTGCCCTTCTCGCCCTGACGCCCCTCGGGACCCGGGGAGCCTGCGGGGCCCTGCGGAGAGAGGAGACGGGGGGTGAACAAGGGAATGGGGCAGGGGCCTGTCCCCTCTAGGGGGCGCCGGCTCCCACCCAGCCCCAGGGCAGGGACTGGCTGGCTCAGGGGGGCAGGGAATGGGGCAGGGGCCTGTCCCCTCTAGAGGGCGCTGGCTCTGACCCGGCCCCAGGGCGGGGACCAGCTGGCTCGGTGTGGGGCAGGAGGGGTCCCTGGAGCTAAGTGGTTTCCCTGTCATTAGCTGCCGCGCTCTGGGCCGGGCGTTTCGCTCGCTGCCGAGGACGGGAAGGAATTTCCTGCCCTCAGTGCCAGCCCCACCCTCCCCGCAATGAGATTCCCAGGGAGCCGGATTTGTGTGTGCGCGTGTCTGCTGCCCCCTGCTGGCGGGTCACTGTGGCTGCAGACAGGGTGGGTGCCTGGGGTGGGGGGGTCTGTGCCGGTCAGAGTCTCCGTCGCACAGTAGCTGGGACAGCAGGCGCGTCCCTCACACCCCCTGCGCAGTGAGACGCCTCTGCCCTGCTCCTGGGGGACGGCAGGAGGAGGGGGGTGACCCGGGCAGGGGAGGGGGCCCAGACACACCCATCACTTACCCTCTTCCCTGGGGGACCTGGGGGGCCGTTCTCTCCTGTCGGGCCTGGCGAGCCCTAGAGAGAGAGAGAGCTGGAGTTAGGAGAACCAATCTAATCCAGAACATCACGGAGAGAGGAACCCGGAGAGGTGGGGAACCTGATCCAGAACATGAGGGAAAGGAGAACCCAGAGATGGGGGTCCGATCCAGAACAGGGCAACCCAGAGTACAGTCAGAGAGGGGGGATCCGGAACATCGGAGGCGGGTTCCAATCCAGAACGTCGGAGGGGCCAATCAGGAAGGTCGGACAGAAAGGAATCCAGAGAGGGACCCGATCTGGAACATGGGGGGCACGTGGAGTCTGATCAGACTGTTGGGGGTCTCGCGGGGGGGGGGGGGATCCCATCTGGAGCACTGGGGACACAGGTGGGGTGTCCAGTCCAAATGTCAGGGGAGATCCATTCCAAACAGTCGGGGGGGAGGACCCCATCAGGGCCCCACTCGGGAGCCCTGGTCGCTCACCAGCTGCCCGGGTTCCCCGTCCTCGCCTCGTTCGCCCTTCGCCCCGTCCTGGCCCTGGAGGGGGAAAACAAGCCCTGAGTCAGCAGAGGCCTCGGCAGGGACCCCAAACCCCAGCCGGGGGGCCCCAAACCCTGCTGCATTCCCCCAGATCCCCTCCCCACCCCACCTCCCAGCACCTCCCCTGCCCCCAGACTGCAGGGACCTGGAGGGCAACGCATGGGGCTGATACTTACCCTGGGACCCATTTCACCTGGGGGGCCCGGATCCCCTGGGAAACCAACAGGACCCTGGAAGAGACAGGAATGAATTAGCCTGAGCCACCTCCTCCTACAGCCAGGCACAGAACCCAGGAGTCCTGGCTCCCAACACCCCCTGCCCCACTCTAACCACCAGCCCCCACTCCCCTCCCAGAGCTGGGAGAGAACCCAGGAGTCCTGGCTCCCAACACCCCCTGCCCCACTCTAACCACTAGACCCCACTCCCCTCCTAGAGCTGGGAGAGAACCCAGGAGTCCTGGCTTCCCCTCCCCCGGTCTCTGCGCCGCGTCACGCATCACTCACAGGGTTTCCCTTGGGCCCATCATCTCCGGGGGGCCCTTTCCCTCCAGGGGGTCCAGCTGTGCCGGCGGCTCCGGTTTCTCCTTTCTCCCCTCGCTCTCCTCGCGGGCCCTGGGAAGGAGACAGAGCGGTGGGGGGGGGGGGGGTCAGTGTGGGGTCTGTGGGCAGGGGGAGGATGGGGGGAGTGGCCTGGCAGGGGGCAGAGCTCTGGGGGTCAGCTCTGGGGGAGGGATCCCAGCCCCAGTGTTCCTTGGGGAGATCCCCCATGTGTGTGGGGGAAGGAGTCTCTTGGGGGGGGGCTGTCAGGGGCGAGAGGTCCTGGCCCCAGTGTCTCTGGGGTGGGGCTCACAGCCTGGGGAGAGGGGAGCACTCCAGACTTGGGGGGGGGGCCTGTCAGGGGGGAGCGGTCCTGGCCCCACTGTCTCTGGGGTGGGGTTCACAGCCTGGGGAGAGGGGAGCACTCCAGACTTGGGGGGGTCCTATTGGAAGAAAGGGGCTCCGGGGGGGTCCTCACTGGGTGGGGGAAAGGCCAGGCCCAGCCCTGGGTCTCCCCCACAAGGCATGGGGATAGATGGGCCCTGAGGGGCCCTTGCCTGTGGGGAGCAGTGCTCTGGGGGTCCCTGAGAGGAGACACCCCCCAAGGAGGGGTCCCTGACTGGAGGCTGACAGCTCTGGGTGGGCCTTAATAAGGAAGAGACAGAGGTGGGGAGCTGGCCACTGATTCCCATAGGGGGCAGGGCCCCAGTAGAGGGGATGAAGGAGGCTCGGGGGGCTCCTTGGTGGGGGACGGAGCGGGGGTGTCCCATGGGATAGCGGCTGTGCCGCCAGGTAGGGCGAGGACTCGGGGGAGCCCCGGGGGGGTAGGAAAGGGACAAACGGGGGAGGGTTTCCCGAGGGGTTAGTGGCCATGCTGCCAGATGGGGTGTGTGAGGGAGCAGGGACAGGGGGGCCCAAAGACTCACCTTGACTCCTGGCTCCCCGGGGATGCCAGGGGCCCCCGACTCGCCAGGCTCACCCTGAAAGAGAGAGACGTCAGCGCTCGCGCTCCGACCGGTCCCCCCTGGATGGTCCCGGAGACACAGCGCGGCAGCACCCGACAGGCCCTGTGCCACTAGACCCCACTCCCCTCCCCTCCCAGAGC